ATAGTGGCTTCCTTTTTAAAATATCTTTTTTAGATCAAAAGTTATTGGCTTTTAAAGTTTGTGTAGTCTTTAAGTATCATGTACTATACAACCTTAAATACTGATATCAATATGATGCCAAGGTCTGAAATAGAACAAAAACTGGATTTTTACAGAAAAAAGCTGTAGTTTATAATATAGAAAAGTCTACACAAAACTGGATAAAAAAGTTTGAAGAATTTTGCACCAAGTATAATTATATTATACCATCTGAATCAATCAAAGATCCTCATCTTATTGAGCAACAAATATATGAATATGTTGCACAAATAACAAAGAAAGTTGGTGGTGAATACAAGATCACAACAATTAAGCAGGCAATTGATGAAATTAATAGATATTTTAGTAAAAATGGTGCAATTCGTAGATTTAATTTACATAACAAATATCAATTCCTGAATTTACATGATATTTTAAATGGTAAAATAAAAGATTTACAAGAGAAAGGTTTAGGTAAAAAAGAAGGATCAATAGCATTAACTGTCTAACAAGTAAGAGAGATTTTAGATAATGAATTCTTAAATCCCAAAATACCTCAAGGCTTACTATATAGAGTTTTCTTTTGTAATGTAATGATTTTTGCATGTCAGGATAAAGAGCATTATATGCTTTAGATTAATTAGCTTCAAATTCAATCAGATAACAGTATTTTATTTTATTGATACCATAGTAAAAATAATCAATGAGAAATTCAAGAAGGTGATGCACAACAAATTCACCTACCATCTGATCTGTCTAGTATATTTGGTCCTGTCAGTGATTTTGTGAATTATATTTTCAAATATTCTTCTGATATTTCTAGCAATTTTTATTTGCACTCAAATTTGAATTGGTAAGATACTAGCATTTGATATGTCAAAACTTATTGTGGTATAAACAGGATCAGAAATTTTATGAAAGATATTAAGCAAAAAATAAAGGTAAACCTTCCAGAAGAAATTTTAACAAACTATTTTGGAAGAAAAACAGCAGCTCAAATTCTTCAAGATGCCGTTATATCAGAAGATACTATTATGAATGTTATAGGTTATAAAAGTATACAGGGTATATATATATAAATGTATTAACAAATATCAACAAATTAATATAATGAAAACTTTGGTTAGTACAATTGAGCTGTTAAAAATTTAAACAAGATAAATCAGGTTGTATCTGCTGAATTTAATAGATCTAGTACTACGCAAAATCAAATCAAAATTTGAATTTGAGTCAAATATTTGATCAAATTTTTTAAAAATTTGATCAAATATTTGATTTAAAATTTGATTTTGCAGAGTACTAAATAGATCTCATAGTAATATTAATGTTAATACCAATACTATCTCTACGCAAGATATAAATATAATACAAGGAAAATTTCAGAATCAGCATTCTATTTTTAATAATTGTTATTTTACGAATATTATATTTTATTTTAATATAGTACTAGTAGTGATTCTTTTTTTCATATACAGTTCATTTAAAATACTTATATGAGAAATTTCATTGAGCAGAATTATTGTATTGGGTAAAATTACAGAAATTAACAATTCTTAATAGCTAATTACTGATAGTAATAATGTAGCATTTTATGTTGTTAAAAAAACAATAAATAAAATTTGCTTTTACATAATTAAAATACCAATTGCATATAAAACAATTTTAAAAATAAATATTTAATTAAAAATTTATAGGAACTGCATAATATAATGAGGGGCCATTAAATAATTTTTGATATTTTCACAGATAATCAGTTGTATGAAAATATCAGTATATAGTATCATAGATAACCATTAGGAGACATGGGATAATAATAATTAACTCATGAGTAGAGATAGTAAAGTTTATAAAAAAACCAACTTGAACTTGGTTTAAGAATAGATAAACCAAGTTTGGTTTTTTAAAACTGTTTAAACTAGTTTTAATGCAGTTTATATATAAATTATAAATAATGTATTTTTTTATATATTTCTTATATTTTTGTATGCACTAGAGCTGCAGGTGAAACTAAATCACACTAGTGAAACTGGTGACTATCTAAAATCTGATTGGTTATTGCATTTAATAGCCAATCAGATTTTAGATAGTCACCAGCTTCACCAAGTTTCACCAAGTTTTACCAGTTTCACCAGCAACTCTAGTATGCACAGTACCTTTTATATAAACTTATATAAATATGCATATTCATGTATATTTATGTATAATCATGCATAATTATGTATAATTATTCATAATTATATATATTTATACATGATTATATACAATTATGCACAATTATGTATGTTCATGCATGATTATACAAGGAGTGCATAAAAAATACAATAATTATTTAGTTTTTATAAACCAAACCAGATTTATTTAAACTAAACCAAATTTAATTAAGTTTTTAAACTGTTTATTTCAACTTTATAGTTTGGTTTAGTTTGGTTTTAACTGTATATATCAAGGTTTAATCAAACCAAGCCAAACCAGACTTTACCATCCCTACTTGTGAGTAACTTATGAGTTAATTTTTTTTATGATTCAAAGAATGATAAATTAAATTATTTGAGTCATGAGTTGACAAGTCCAGCCACTAACCTCTGTATAGGCACTATCATCTTAGTCACATTGAATTTTGGTTACCAACCTGGTGATTATTTCGAGATTATACTATACTAAGTTTTTTTCATTGGTTAAATAAAGCATGATCATATGAATTTTTTTGCTATGATATTTTTTTACATAAAATTATGTACAATAACAACATTATTGAACATACATAAATAACAGTCATTTTTTGTTGTTTGTCCAATAATGTATACTTATTAACTTTTATTATATATTTTAAATCAAATTTTAAATTTGAAGTTCAAATATTTGATTAAGCTTTGATTTTGAGAATATTACTAGGTATAACAAATAAGGCTACTTGGGTCGGCTTATCTAGAAAGATTAAAAATTAAGCAATCAGGCAAACTTTTCCTATATGACCAGACCTTTGTTTATTTAACATGTCTGTGCAAGATTAGTCATATGCGAAATACTACGTATAAATTTCAGTCATAGTGTGATTTATATTCTACATATTATAAATGCGAACTTACAGTATTTTTTTCTCAGGATCTTAACAAAGTCAGTATAAATTGATTGAACTGAACCCAGAGATTGCTACATTGCTTGAGGAAAACAGTATACAAAGTGAAAAATTTCCGTAATTCACAATTATGATTAAAGACGCGTTAAAGATGACTTTAACACACAGTCCGTTATAATTTTTACAAAAAAATACTTGTGTATAAAGGCTACCTAGTATAATGAAAGGCCTGTTTATATACCAAAAACAAACCTTTTATCATACGTAAAAAAGTATTATAGTAATCCTCTACTCTTGATATCATCCTCACTAACTTTTGGTACCTAATATATAAAATAATCAAAGAGGTGAAGCTAATGGTGATGTTAATATGATAGGATATTAACATAATAAAGAATAATTGTCAATTTCATGTGTATTAAAGTAGTTGATTTTCTAAATATTTTTAAGTTAATCTGCATCAAAGATTGAACAATTGAATGAATTATTACAACCGACTATGATGTAAGTATTTGTATTTTGTGTCTCACATTTTTAAACTAACCACGCAGTTTTCATGATGCTCTTTTAATATACAATTTAAAGACGTGAAAAGAACTAAACAAAAGCTCTTAAAATTAGACCTTACTGGTATATTCTTATGTTAGCAGATCATTTATTGTAATTGTTGTGCCTTAGATGCATCCTTGCGTCAGATGACGCCCGGCCTGAGTTAGGATTAGGGTTAGAGTAAAAATCACAGGGTAATTTAGACCAATTGCTACAGATCATTTAATACTGGTCATCTAGTAGTCATCTGACATGCGTCAGCTGCAATCTGACACAAGGATCTATCTAAGGCACAACATAATAACACAATTCATGTATAAAAAATATGTGTATATATATGTTGTGCATTAGATAGATCCTTGCATCAGATGACTACCAGATGACTAGCATTAAATAATCTGCAATAATTGGCCTAAATTACCTTGTAATTTTTACCCTAACCCTAATCCTAACTCAGGCCAGGCATCATCTGATGCAAGGATGCATCTGAGACACAACATATATAAAGACACCAGCTCAATTCCAAAAACCTAGTTGTCCAAATAGTAGACAATTCAAAAGCCTTGATCAACATGTTAGCATATTATAACATATTGATAAATCTCCATAAAAATAGCTGGATTTCATACCTTATAAGCAATGGCATCACTAAAATTAGATTGACGACCTTATAATCTTCTAATTTTTTGTTTGAGGTTGAAGTATTTATGTCAATCTGTATCGGTTCATTATTATGATCATTAGTGTGTGTATTGTCCAAATAATAAACATTACTTCTTGTTTTTTTTGTCTTGATTCTTTTTCGTAAACGATTACTATACTATTGACAATTATGTGAACCCTTGTAATCTTTAAAATTCATGTAAAATTCTGACTTTTAGATAATATATATTTAATTAAAGATCTTGTGCTAAAATAAATGATCAAACGAAACTTTAGATATAATTTTTTTTGCAACTAATAAAAAAAAAGATCACATTCTAATATTGAAAAATATATACTCACGCCAATAAAGCTTCAAATGTTTTTGGGAGAAATAGCTAGTATGAATATTTTATATTGTATTTTGTTACTACGCTGAAAGAAAAATGATCATGCATGTAGAACTGTGGAATGTGCTTCAAAAATGTGTTACTACATTTATTTTTATGTCACAGTATATTTTTTGGTAAGCAAATTTGAAAAATCTTGAATGAGCTTCGTATGAAACTTATTATTACATTGCATACATTTATTTTTATGTCGCAGTGTATTTTTTGGGTAAGCAAATTTGAAAAATCTTGAATGAGCTTTATATGAAACTCATTATTACATTGCATATATATTTTTTTTTATGTCGCAGTATATTTTTTGGGTAAGCAAATTTGAAAAATCTTGAATAAGCTTCGTATGAAACTCATTATTACATTGCATACATTTATTTTTATATCACAGTATATTTTTTGGATAAGCAAATTTGAAAAATTTTGTATAAAACTTATTATTATATTGTATACATTTATTTTTATATCGCAGTATATTTTTTGGATAAGCAAATCTTGAATGAGCTTCGTATGAAACTCATTATACATTGCATGTCTTGAGATTTTTAAGCTCCTGTGATTCCTCTAGACTTCGTTTGGTTGGTGTTTAGTTTGTGACAAAATTCTGACAAATCAAAGTTTTGTTAGGCCATATAAACTTAATTTTTTGTTTCTCATAATACATAAAATTTTAAAAATAACCTGGCTAGCAATGTTTTTAAAACAAAAGTTGATCTTTACAAAGCCCTAAAATCCTTATATTGTACGAGATAAATCACATTTGGAATCAAATCCGCCAATATATCTATTTCTATAATACCAGTATTATTAAAAAAAAAAAAAAAAAAATAGATTGATTCTA